TCTCCCAAAAAAGTAAAAAAATAAATGTCCAAAAAACTAGTTGAACTCCAAAACCCTAAGCAAATTTTGAAGAAATATAATCTTCTAAAGCCAAAAGTCGTGAATATGGCAGACAAGAACGAAATGTAAGGTACAATTTTGACATTCATGAGTGTTCATTTTTTAATTTGATTCCCTTTTTGTTTGTTTGTTTTTTTTTTTTTTTTTTTTTTTTTTTTTTTGCAATTCATATGAAAATTGTTTTTTTTTTTTTTACGTTTTTGCTTTTGTTGTTGTTTGATTTTCTACCTTTTTGCAATTCATATGAAAAATCAGTTGTATGTTCTTTCGGATTTTTTGCTTCTATTGTTGTTTGATTTTCATTTTGTTTTATTTTTTCTGTTCATTAAGTTATTATTGAATGTTTATTGATCTGAGTTATTATTGAATGTTCATTAAGTTATTATTGAGTTATTATTGAATGTTCGATGAGTTATTATGACATACTCCTTCCGTTTTTAAATACTTGCTCCATTTCTCCATGCACGGAGTTTTAGGAGAAATTAGAGAAAGTAATAAAATATGGAGGTAGTGGGGTTGATGGAAGAATAAAAAATTGTAAAAAGCACAAGTAGTTGAGAGAATTGGAGGAGAGAGAATATGAAATTAATAAAATATGATTTATGTTAGGTCCACTAGTTGAGAAAAATGAATTAAATACTGTAAAAACTTTCTAATAAGGAATTGGAGCAAGTATTTAAAAACGGCCGGAAATAAAAAGTGGAGCAAGTATTCAAAAATGGAGGGAGTATTATTTTTGAATGTTCATTGAGTTATTATGACATTATTTTTGAATGTTCATCGAGGTATTATTGAATGTTCATTAAGTTATTATTGTATGTTCTTTTAATCTATTAGCTCTATTAATATGATAATTAAATAACTTCTACATGAAAGCATTGAATATTCAGATGACCTGTAAATTACAATTGGTAAACTTCATGATCATTATGTTTTTACTTTATTTGTTCTTTTAGTATCAACTGAATGTTCTTTTCCCTTATAGTATATGTTCTTTCTTAATTGTTTACGTATTCTTTAGTTCTAACTTAATATTCTTTGGTTTTGATTGTTCTTCAGTATTGATTAAGGGTTTTTTTCCCACCACGTGGACCAACCAAAGTCCGCCACGTGTCACCTCGTGAGAGGTCCAAGGTGGACCAATCAGCCCACGACACGTGGCAGACAGATTGCCAACTAGGAAAGTGGCCTTTAACGGCCCAAATTCCTAGGCAAGCCCAGTCCGTCCTAGGAATCTGAAACTTAGTACTGGGCACGCATTACGAGACCCTATAAAAGGGAGATGTTCCCCCTGAGGAACATCATTCAGAAATTATTAAACACACGTGTACATTAATTGCTGAGCATTAACTCCAGCTTAATTGCACTTCTTGAGAGCTAAGGCTCGGATTTCGAGGCTATCTCAGATAGCTGGATGATCACTTCTCTCCTAAGAGGAGCCTGATCCTGTTTACATTCCGCACTTTTTACATCCGAACACGTTCTAACTTGATCGTCGGAGGCGGAACTCCCACCCATAGGAGTCTCCGTTGTTTTGCAGGTACAGGCACGTAGATCCTGTCTTGGTGTTGTAACTCTCCCGTAGGACATCCGAAAAACCCCCAAAACAAGTATATTATTGAATGTTCTTTACTCTTTTTTTTTTTTTTTTTTTTTTTTTTTTTTTTTTTTTTTTGCATATTTTCATTCCAGTGTATGAACCCATACACTTCTACATATTTTGCATCAACATGAAGAGTAAATCTTTAAAAATGACCGACAATATTCCTCTTCTAGAAGGTGTGGAGATTGCACACAAATATCAAGATTACCCACAGAAAGTCGTAAGTGATCTTCAATGTATAAGAAAGACTATGTTCTTTAAAAGTATGTATAGTGTTCTTTAAATCATTATTTAATGTTCATTGGGCTAATACATAATGTTTTATATTATGTAACAGTTGGATGCTTATGCAACTTTCCTTGTGACAAAGCACATGAAGATTCATGAGAAGATTAGAAATTTTCTTATCAATTTGTTGAAAATGCCATGGCAGATAACTACGAACAAGATTGATTGTGCCATATACACAATGAGACATATGGAGACTTACTATGGGAGAAATAAATGGACTTGTGGACTACAAGCTAATAACGCAAGAATTTAAAATATATCAATATTGTGTATACTCTAACTTATATATTTTTAGGATTTATATTAATTTCTTTTACTTACTTTTTTTCAGAACATTCCTGCGAAGAAGTTGAGGATGCGATATTCATATGAACTGATGATGCATGAGAAGAACAAGATGAAACTAGAAATCCATTATCTTGCTAATTAAGAAAGACACCCATGCTTGAAGTTGAAGAAGGTGTTTATAATTTCAAAGGACATTTTTAATTAGGTTAGGCTAGATTGTTCATTTTGTGAGAATAATATGTTCTTTATACTGAAACATGGTGTACTTTGTTGTACACAAACAGTAGATTAGGCTTGTATGTTCGTTTTGCGAAACAACATGTTTTTTGGCATTTATGTTCTTTTGGTTTTCAAAAATAATACACACACGCTATTTTCTTTGTTTTGAAATACACGTTATATGACCCCAAGATGCATCCCCTATTATTTCAAGATTTTTCGACACCGGGTCCCGAAACCTCAAAAATTGCCCATTTTGTAGAGGTATATATGTTCTGTTTTATAATATAACTGTTCATATATGATATTCTATATTAAAATTAGAGTTTAAAAAAAGGATAGTAGAAAATTATTATTAAGAACAATAAAACTCTATATTATTTCAAGGAATATGGTAATCTTACATGGTTTTGAAAGTACTGAGTATTACATGAGTTGAAAGTAATATGATCTTATGAATGATAAATGAAATGTCTTGTCTCAAAAAATTATATCCCTAGTCATCAATGTCTAAAAAAAAATCCTACCAAATTTTAAATAAATAAATATTAGTAAATAGTAATGAAATATGATATATATTGTGATTAAATATTAATAAACGAAAAAGTAATATTACCTATTATATTGTTAAAGGTGCAACATGTACTCCAAAATATTCTTTGGGTTCAAAATACTTCAGTGAACCTCCAACTAGGGAAGAATGAGCCAATATGTTTCCTTTAGGATCGGCTAAAGTCTCCTAATAGCAAATAATGACATGTACTACATAATATTAGTGAAGAACATATTGCATATACGTAAAGAACATATAATCAATATGTAAAGAACATCCAATATCACATTTGAAGAACAATATATATATAAATGTAAAGAACATTAAGAATAATTAGAGAGAACTCAACATAAGTATAAAATACCTTTATTGTTGTATGTTCTTTCTTTTTCATTATTGACGTACACCCCCTTTGCACTTTTCTTCTTCCAAGATTTAATTTTCTGACCTTTAAGCTTGTTACATATTTTTACTTGTGCAGTTGTGTGCTCTTAAGTCGAGTATTCCTTTGTCCCTTCTTCCTTTTAGTAATGGGGTCCTTACTATAATCTCCTTCACATTTTCAGTTGAATTTTCAGCAACTGTTGGTGGGTCTTCATTAACATCATCATCTTGAATCACATGGCAAGCTGATCATCACTAACCTATAAATAATACTAGTATATTTTTAACACATGTTCACTATCATTGACACAATGTACATTATTATTGTTCACAAAATGTACATTGAAACAAACCATAATGTTCTTTTTCATATATATACATAATACTGAATTATATACGAATGAGCAGAACAAACAAATGTACATTGTAAAATTACGAAATGTTCATTAAATATAAGAATTATGTTCTTTGAAATTATACCTGACAATCCTGACCCGACCCGAATGACTCTACTCGTTACTCGAAACCATTGACCCGAAAATGACCCAAACCCGAACTAACCCAACCCGAACCCGAACTCGACCCAAAATGGAGTTGACCCGAACATGACTCAATGCCCGAAATGACCCGACTCAAAATTGACTCGAAACCCGAACTTGACCCGACCCGAAGTGACCCAAAACCCGATTTAAACCCGAATTAATTGACTTGAATCGACCCGAATTGGCCCGACTCGAATTGACCCGACCCGAAGTGATCAGATTCTTGAAGTGAATAGGATGAAATGGTGAATTACTTATTTTAGGGTTTCTTTCTTTCCTAAGTAATAGGTACTCACAATTGTTTTATTTTCTTAACGATTTTAATTTATTTTTCCAACTTTTTTGTAAGTGAATCTGTTTTGGTAACCCGACTCGAATTGACTCGATCCGAGATTGACTCGACCCGAAATTGACCCGAAAATTGGTCCTCAAAATTGACCCGACCCGAACTAACCTAACCCGAAATGACCCGACCCGAACTTAACCCGAAGTGTTGACCCGAAACCCGAATTGACCCGACCCGACCCCCAAACCCCTCTTGAATATTTGCTGATCCGAAATTTACCCGACGTTAGAATTAGTGAATTATATATATATATATATATATATATACACACGGGAAGGTTCCGCTGAAAACAGGGCTTATGGTGAAAACTAAAAACAGAAAATCTCAACCATCCATTATTACTAACAAAATCTAACGATTTAAAAGCCAAATGATCTTTCCAACTTTTCCTTATACATACTCAATGGTTTAGAGGTAACAACATAAAAAATAACACAATTTTATCCAATTTGACAATGTTTACATAAAGGTAACTATATAATAAAATAATGTAACTTTATCAATTTTGACAGCATTTACATAAAGGACACTATATACAAAAATGAAGTAACTATATCAATTTTGATAACATTTACATTGAGGTCACTATATTTTAAAATAAGGTAACTATATCAATTTTGACCACATTTACTTAGAGGTCACTATATACAAAAACAGGGTAACTATATCTATTTTGACCACATTTACATTAAGGTCACTATATATACAAAAATAAGGTAATTATATCAATTTGGACCAATGCTCCATACGGATTAATCTTCTGGCAAGTAATGTTCTCCCTCCATATTTGACAGGATCAAATGGACTTCCACTTGCAAAAATTGAACAGTCCTGAAAGTTGTAGAACAATAGTACAAGTTATTTTCATATTTTCGGAGGCATAAACAATATAGAATGTAGAACATACAATTTTTCAATCTCCAAGTACTTAACAAAAAAACAAAAGAGCACATTTCAAATGAGATGAAGGGGGAGAATCAACATAAAAGAAGAAAAAAAATTGCATTTGTTAATTATATACCTTACGCCATGTATAAGCCTCCTCAGCTGTGCACTCCGATTGTATAGAAATTTGCCAAAATTGGGATAGCCAAACAACATCAAGTTGACTAATCGAGGCCTTGTAAAATTAGATTCAGAGTGCTATACTGCTATGCATGATGGAGTGATTGGAGTATATAATGCATCATTTTCCACTGGATTTAGATAGTGTATTCAAACAAAATACAAAGTCGTAATACCATTCAAGTAAACTACACTGTGGATATTTCATCACGTATTGCGATCCATACCACCTCAATTTCAACTGTTCCACCATCACAACAACACTTATGTATCATTAAATTCCAGAAATTCATCAAATTCAATTAAATTTGTTTCTGATAGAAAATTAGAAAGCATTTTAACAAATTCACCTCAACTCTGTCAAACATGTCATCCATTATCAACGGTTTACCACTGTAATACGAATCTTTCGCCTATCCATTAAAAGAATTCAAAAAAAAATGAAATTAAGATCAATCAAATCAAACGATGATTTTCAGTTTTCAAGTGTGATGAACTGATGATACCTGGCGATACAGAGATTCTAGGGTTTCTTGGCTGGAAGTTTCGACTGGACCGACAAAAATACAGGAAGGACCTTCAGAATTTACAGGAGTTTGGAAGGCGGCGCAAGTAGATAAGCCGCCGCCGGCGACATAGCAGCGGTAATTGAAGACGGCGGAGGAAGAGAATTTCAGCCGGAAAAAATTACCTGCAGCTGATTCAGAGGGAACGATTAAGCGAGTTGGAGAGAGAGAAAAATTATCTACCATAGAAGAACCTTAAATTAATTAGTGTGAAACTAAACCCGAATCTCTTCCTTCGACTCATCCTTCCTCTCTTTGTATGCCTTCTTCAACTCTTTATCTCTCTTCTTCTACTCTAACGACACCTGCTTCCGATTAACCGCCATTGCCGACGACCGATGCTTCCTCGGCTGCTTCCAGTTCCGGCCGAAAACTCTGCCAGAGATAACTCCGTCGTACGTCGGGGGACTAAAACCTGGTTTGTTTAGATCGTCAGTGGATGAAATTGGAGTACAAAAATATTGGAAATTCGGAAAACATCGAACAAAATTGCAGTTGAAAATTCGAACCATAAATTGGAAAAAAAATCACTGAAAAAATCGCAGAAATCGAGCCCTAAAATAGCAGAAAATAAAATGTTGATGCAATTTCGATCATAAAACAAAAATCAACATAATTGATGCAATTTCGTAACAAATTCCTTAAAAATTCAAAAAAATAAATTAACAAAACCGCTGAAATTAAATTGCTTGAACAAACATACCTTAATTTACCAAATTGCGAGAGAAATAACTGAAAATCGCTGAAAAAGTCTTTCAATGTGCTCTAATAATGGAGATTTTTGGGGGTTTGAGGAGAGAGAAAATGATGAGAGAGAAAACAACGACATGTTTCCGTGGGAGGGGAGAGAAAATTAGCATATAAACATTAGATGGGATGTCATCCGCTAGATTATAATCTAGCGCTAGGATAAATCGTTTTCAGTTTTTACCCTAAGATTTGTTTTCACATGATCCATTCCCTATATGTGTGTGTATATATATATATAAATCGTTTTTAGTTTTCACCCTAAGATTTGTTTTCACATGATCCATTATATACATATATATACATATAACAATTAATTAACGATTTGCATAAAATTCGATAAAATTTTTAAAATCAATGCGATAAATAAAATTACCTTTTCCTTCAGTTACAATATCATCTATTTCAACCAAAATCATCATCCTCGTGATCATCATCAGCAACAAATCGACATTGGAATCAAGTCTAAATTCTTGAGCAGCCATTTTCTGTCTCTAAAAACTTCAATTTCTCTTTCTAGATAATTCTCTCTAAATTGAAAATATAATTTCTTATTTATGAATATCCTAATTAAGACAACGAACATAAATATGAAAAGAGAATCCTACAATTATGTAATTCACATAAAACAGAGATTCATTTTTTTTTAAAAGAAAAACAAAATCGCAGGTGCTGTGATTTTAAGCCGGATGTACCAAGCATGACACATCTGGCGCTATGGTAAAATTTTCATATGTTGGATCAATTTCATACCTAGTAATATGTAGGGTCAGGTGATAGATCGATGTATTGGTATTATAAATCTTTCCTCCGCAATTAGTTTTGGAAATCAGCATATTATATTCAATTCTTGTCATAATTGTTGATATTATGTACTTTTTTTTTAATAGTAAAAAAATTCATTAATAAAAAGACATATGACATCTAGAAAAGAGATTTGACTTTAACAAATACATAATATATTGAATCAAATAAGAATTTCCTTTATTAAAACTACAATGATCGAGTAGATCTTGTACTGTGGAACATCTCCCGCTTATATCGTTGGTAAATACAGCCTTGTTGGAGAGATAATCTAATGATCTTTTGTAGCCATGAGGATGTTTTTCTTCTGATTCATTTGATTGTATTCGAAGGCTTGATAACCCTTGCGATCTCGCAAAATTTTTCACCAACGAAATAATTTCATGACAATCCATTAGATCTAATATCATGGATTCAAACCTAAGAAAATTCACTCCCGAAAGAGGAGATAAACCTTGTCTTTCGAAGGAGGTCGAAAAAGCCTTATCTTTCGAAGAATATTCGGAAACCCTTTCTTTCGAGGGAGAAAAGTTCCTCCCAAAAGGAGGAAGCATTATTATAAACCTAAAAAAACTTTTAAGAAAAATAAGGATTGGGGTTTTTCACTGGTTAAAATCGATGGAAGCCCCTTCAAAAAACAACAATAGAGGCGATGGAGGGTTTAGGAGAGAGGAGAGAGTAATTATGTACTTTAATTTATTTGATTTGAATGTACTTGGGCTGATAACTTAAATTTCAAAAAAAATGCAAAAAATTTTTTTGTCATAATTGTTGAAATTATGTAATTTTAAAAGTTGAAAAAGGGGCATAGCTCGGAATTAAAAGCTAATGGGGCCAAGGTTATTATATTTTTGAGGGCTAAAATACTTTCGTGTTAGCATTGACCATAAAATTTTTTCTATACAAAATTCAAAGTTCATCATTTTACCTCTTTTTTTCCCCACTTAACAAAATTCCTCATTTTACCTTAACATTATAACAAATCACAAGACAAAAATAAAGTATTTCGCATAAAGTTAAAAACTACTCTAAATCATTAAAAAAAATAAGGAGAAACATAAAGTAACAATATACAACATTTAAAATGTAGAAAGTTACGTGTTTTTTTTTTTTTTTTTTTTATGTATGCCACAACATCATATCTAGGCAAATTCTACTCTAAATAATTGACTATTAACAAAAACAAAGAGAAACATAAACTAGCAATATGCTTCATTTATATTTTAGAAGTTATGTGTTTTTTGAATGTATGTGACGATATCACATAAAGGCAAAAGCATGATGGTCATCAATTAATCAAATTAAGACAGTATTTTGAACTTGAAGCATTGAACCTTCATCTAACAACTTATACAAGAAAAAAAATAAAGAAGCGGGATTATAAAAGAAAAAAAAACAGCCAAATTATAAAAGAAAAATAAAAGATTGAGAAAAAAAAAAGTGGGATTATAAAAGGGGGGAAAAAAAGTGGGAGAGTTAGAAGAATTGAACTTGTGACCTTGTGGTATCATGTATTACCTTTTTAAATCAATAACATAATACTAAAACAGACACCAAGAATGATACGTGACACTTTCTGGTGTTGTTTTTTCCTTCCAAAACTCCCTCCTCCATTTTTAGCAAAAATCTTCTATTTTTGGAATATTTGTATAATACAACAATAATAATATTATTACTAATCTTATTTATTATCTTTATACTAATTGTATTCCTTTTTATTTTGTGTTCTATTTACTTAAAGTAGTTACACAAGATTTTGAGACCTTTTAGCTAAGGGAGAATAAGTTATAATTTAGAAGGATGAAATATGGTGAAGAATATAAAATAACGGAGCCAAAAATACAATATTAACATTTAAATTACCAATATATATATATATATATATATATATATATATATATATATAGTTTTACAATAATGGGTTCAATAATGGGGAAAAAAAAATCAATCTATTCATGGTGTTGATTTGAAATCTTATGAACCAATGATAATTGAGTTAGTATTTTGTTAAATATTTCTGTAATAATTGACCAACTTATAACTTTTTTTTTCCTTCAAATAATCAATTAACTACTACTAAAACTGGTCATGCTTACATCGATTATTTTGGATATATGTTAAACTACCATTAAATTAATTCCCGCCAAAACAATATATGATGTCAGCTTTAAGGTTTTTTATTTTTTATTTTTTTTATTTTATTTTTATTTTTTTATTTATTTTTTTTATAATTATTCAACTTAGCTTATTTTTTTAAAGTACATTATATATTTTTTTTATAGCTAAATTAAATTATAAATAAAAAGCCATACGACATCTACATTGTATAGTTTTATTGGGAATAACATGCATCGTTAATGTAATATAACATACACTACTTATAAATATTTTCAACACAACTAATCAACAAATTTTTTTTTTTCAATTGTAGTTTTAATAATTTTTGCCTTATTATATCATCTTTCTTAGACCATCTCCAATGGTAAGACTCAATGGAATTTTTTTAGGAGAAAGAGTATTTTTTTGTAAAGGATACCAATAAGTTGGTATCTAAACTTAGATACTCAAAAAGAAAGTTGCTAAGTTTAGATACTCAACTTTGATTCTCAATTGACAAAAAAGTGGGCCCTTATCAATTTTATATTGATTTATTTAACTTTAAATATTTTTATAAAAATTTAAAATTGTTTATTTAATTGGATATCGTGGGTCATATAAGAAAATGACATTAGTATACTTAAGAGAGTCTCACCATTGGAATATTACCATATCACATGATTTGCTAAATTGAGAAGTGGCTTGGGTATTACCATTGGGTGTGAAAAACAACTCATCTTGTATTTTAATACTCAAAGTTGAGTCTCACTAATGGAGTAACTCTTATATGCATTGCATTTGTTTATTTCAATTCACACGAGTTACCTCATTTTTATATTACACAACTATTTCACCAAATGCCATTGAGAACTTTAATAATTCACCAAATGCCATCAAAGTTTTCAAAATTCACCAAATGACACTGAATGTTTAAAAAATTCACCGGCTGCCATTAATGACTAACGGTCGTTAACTCCATTAGTTATTAGGATTAAATCATGACACATGTCATGATATGATTGGTTCAATTTTTATTAATTAATAAAAAAAAACATTTTTTTTCTCGATATTCATGACAAATATTGTTTGGGTAAAGTTTTAGGGGTTATTTTGACCCTTTATGGGTTAAAATTAAGTTTGAAATTGGCAAAAAAAATGTAAATGTCCCGTTTTGTGTTGAAAAATATCTTGATTAGCGAGTCATTATTTTTTAACTGTGAAAATTGATCAGTTAAGGTTTTGGAGGTAATTTTGATCCTATATGGGTTCAAATTAAGTACAAAATTGGCAAAAAAAAAATAACATAAATGCCCCGTTTCGTGTGTCGAGAAATATCTCAATTTGTGTGCCGATTTTTTTAACTATGTAAATTGTCCAGGTATGGTTTTGGCGGTCATTTGGGTGCTTTATGGGTCTTAAATAAGCTCAGAATTGGCAAAAAAATAATGTAAATGCCCTGTTTTGCGTGTTAAGGTCGTAATTTTTTTTTTATAGTAAAAATTACAAAACGAGGCATTTACGTTAATTTTTTGCCAAATATGAGCTTAAATTAGTTTCTTAAAGCATCAAAATGACCCTCAAAACCTTACCCGGTCAATTTTAATGGCTAAAAAAAAACAACACGCTAATTGAGATATTTCTTGACATAAAAAACAGGGCATTTACGTTAATTTTTTTTCCAATTCCGAGCTTATTTTGAACCCATAGGATCAAAATAACCTCCAAATTAAAACTTTACCCGATTAATTTTCATGGTTAAAAAATAATGACTCGCTAATCGAGATATTTTTCGACACACAAAACGAGGCATTTACGTTTTTTTTTTGCTAATTTCGAGCTTAATTTGAATCCATAAAGGGTCAAAATAACCCCCAAAATTTTACTCGAATAATTTTCGTCACAAAAATCGAGAAAAAAATGTTATTTTTATTAATTAAAATAAATAATTAAAATGAACTAATCATATCATGACATGTGTCATGATTTAATCTTAATGACTAACGAAGTTAACGGCCGTTATTCATTAATGGCACTCGGTGAATTTTGTAAAAACTCGGTGGCATTTGGTGAATTTTGAAAACCTTGATGACATTTGGTGAATTATTAAAGTGCTCAGTGGCATTTGGTGAAATAGCTGTATATTATATCACAAATTAATTATAAGAAAAAACATTATTACTTCCGCGCATCGCATGGACACTAATCTAGTTTTAATAAACATATAAATGTCATAATAGGAAACATTATATAACAATGAATATATTTGATTCGAAATTATAATAAATTGATTCTTTATAATAAATATATTATAATAAATTGATTCTTTAATATACACGTGTATATAATCACACTTTCTAAAATTTATTACAATATCATTACTACTATTTTTTTTTTTATTTATGAATCATTACTATTAGATGGAACACATACATTATCTTAATATCACAATATCTTTTCTATACATGCACAATATCTTCACAAATTAACAATCTTATAATATAAGTTTCATTAGTAAATTCTTTTAATAATTTTTCATACTAGCTACTAAACTTAGTTAACCCATTTTTTTTTTTTTTTTTTTGTGTGTGTTAAGTTTATACTATATAAATAAATCTATTAATAAATGTGTTTAGGAGCCACAAACATCTTTTTATCATGACAACATATCAGAGTTCAATTAACGATATTAGTCCTAACAATGAGCATGTAGTTATACAGGCTAGAGTAATTAGGTTGTGGATTGTACCTTCAAAAGCTTGTTTTGATGAAGCAACTTTGGAAATGGTGTTATACGACACAAAGGTAACAACCATAAGATTGGTGATAAGATTGGTGATCAACTACCTTTAATTCACCATTCTATTTTATTTATATTCTTACTTTATTTTAATCAGTTTATGTTTACGTTTTGTATTATTCATAATTTATTTAGGTGTTCGATATTCATTGCATATCTCTGATATTTTGTTTGTTATATTTTGTTTGTTTGTTATATAGTTGTATAATTTGTTTTGGACTTACATGACACGGGTCCTAAACTAGTGTATCACTAATTTTCACTTAATAATACATATACAATAAATCTGCAGGGGCCAACTTAAAAAATTATGGGCTGCGGGGCTAGGCTACGGGGGCCGGGCCCCTGCTAGCCCCTCTTGTAGCTCCACCCTTGCCTGTTATGTGTTTGTAAACATATACCATAGTATTTTTGTATATAGTGTCAACTTTTCGTAAGATATCAATAAGTAAATATTATCGTTATAATACCTTCTAATGGTGTATAATAGTACTGAGGTATACATGAGGTTTGATAGTACACCATAGTACTAACTGATTGATAGTACATCATAGTACTAACTGATTGAGATTTGATAGTACACCATAGTAATAACTTACTGTAGTTGGTTGTATTAATTGGTTTGATTAATTGATTATATTAGTTGGTTTGACAAGTTAGTTGTAAATAATTGTTATTTGCTAGCTATTTCAGTGCATTTAATAGCTAAAAAGCTAATTGTTCAATGATCTAATTTCAAAAAGCTCTTATAATGAGTTTTTTCTAAAAGAGCTTTTGAGCCCGAAAAGCTATTTTAAGAAGCATTTTATCAAACCCCAAATTAGCTTTTTAAAATAGTCAAACCTCTAATAGGACTCAATAAGCTAAAAACTCTCTCAAAAAGCCCTTTATCATTCAAATAAGGCCGAGTACTATATAGTGTGACTATTGATTAATATACTTCCCGCCAAACAACTAAAAAAACCCAATTTTATAAACCTCCAAACATTCATTTGCCAATGAATTGTTATAGAACAAGATCAGTTGCAACATTTCTTCATCCCCAAATTCAATTCTCTGTATTTTCGCTATATAAGCGTGCATTTCAGACATTCTTAGACCAACATAATATCTCAGACCATAAATTCAACAATACAGATTTACTTTCATGGCTTTCTTATCACCCAAACCCAGAAATTTCTCAATTTCAGACCAAAGGTTTCTCAAATATTACCAAACAATTCACTGGGAAGGCTTTGCATTGCATTTGGTTCAAGGTTTTGATCCCTTTTAGCATATTTCATTCAAATACTTTGATTGGTATGTATTCGAGATTCGGGTGTATTGATGCTGCCCACCATGTGTTCGATAAAATGCCGCTTAGAAATGAGGCTTCTTGGAATACTTTGATTTCTGGGTTTGTAAGAGTTGGTTTGTATGTGAAGGCTTTTAAGTTATTTTGTGAAATGAGAAGTTTTTCTGACTTTGCTTCAAATGGGTTTGTAATATCGAGTTTGATCACTGGTTGTAGTAGGTCAAATGATATGATTTCTCAAGCATTTCAATTACATGGTTTTGTTGTTAAGTCAGGATTATTGGATGATGTCTTTGTTGTTACTTCTATGCTGCATTTTTATGGAACTAATGGGTTTTTGATGGAGGCTAAGACTCTTTATCAGGGAATGCCATATAAGAGTATAGTTACTCGGACTGCGCTGATGGTTGTGTATTCTGATAGTGGACAACCTCAGGAAGTTATTGATATGTATCAGCAGATGAGGCAAGAAGGGGTAGGCTTCAATGAGAATACATTTACTGTGGTGATCAGTTCTTGTGGGATGCTTGAGAATCCAATTTTGGGTCTGCAAGTTCTTGGACATGTTATAAAGTTTGGGTTTGAGTCAAATCTATCGGTTGCTAATTCTCTCATATCAATGTTTGATAGCTTTGGATATTTGGATGAGGCATCATATGTGTTTGATTTGATGAAGCAACGTGATACAATCTCTTGGAATTCAATAATTACTGCTCATGGTCATCACAAGCTTTGTGAAGAATCCCTAGGATACTTCAGGCAGATGCGTTTCGTTCATGATGAGGTGAACTCGGTTACACTTTCCAGCTTGTTATTGGCTTCTGATACTGTTGATTTTGTAAAATGGGGCAGGGGTATTCATGGTCTTGTAGTCAAATATGGATTTCATACAGATGTTTGTGTGTGCAATACTCTTCTTACCATGTACTCTGGAGCTGGACAACTTGATGATGCCGAGTTGATATTTACTACAATGCCAGAGAAAGATTTAATCACATGGAATTCAATGGTAACATGTTATACCCAAAATGGAAAATCCATGGATGCCTTTCGAATTTTGAGTAGCCTTTTGAAGGCAAGGGCATCAATAAACCAAGCCAGTATTGCCAGTGTTTTAGGAGCATGTACTGGCCAAGAGTTCCTTCCTGAAGGCAATATTGTCCATGCTATTGCTGTCAGTTCTGGCCTTGCCAATAATTTGATTGTTGGTAATTCGTTGATTACCATGTATGCAAATTTGGGTTTGACAAATAAAGCTCAAAAAGTTTTTGAGACGATGCCTGATCAAGACACTGTCACATGGAATGCTTTGATCGGAGGATATGCTGAAAATGAAGAAGCTGATGAAGCATTTATTTCCTATAAGTTGATGAGAAGAAGAGGCTTGCAAGAAAATTACATAACCATAGTGAATCTTCTTTCTTCGTTTTCTTCTGCCAGTAGTCTTTTGACGCGTGGAATGTCTGTTCATGCACATATTGTTTGTACAGGTTTTGAATCAGACGAGTATGTGAAGAATTCTCTTCTTACTATGTATGCCAAATGTGGTGATCTTGACTCAAGCAGTGTACTATTCAGTATATCCAGGAACATAACTCCTGTCACTTACAATGCCATAATTTCTGCTAATGCACGTCATGGCCGGGGAGAAGATGCATTGAAACTGTTCAAAAATATGTACAATCTGGGGATAGATTTAGATCAATTTACCCTTTCCAGTGCTTTTGCTGCTGCAGCCAACTTGGCAATCTTGGAAGAGGGTAAAATGCTCCATGGACTGACTGTTAAAATTGGGTTGGACATAAATTTGCATGTAATAAATGCTGCAATGGATATGTATGGGAAATGCGGAGAGTTGGATGATGTCTTGAATATACTTCCAGAACCAGTTAACAGGTCACGGTTATCATGGAACATTCTAATTTCAACTTACTCAAGGCATGGGCTTTTTCAACAAGCGAGGGACACTTTTCATGAAATGCTTGATGTAGGGATAAAACCTGATTATGTGACTTTTGTCTGCCTTCTAAGTGCGTGTAGTCATGGGGGCCTTATTGATGAGGGTCTTGAATATTACTCTTCCATGACAAGGGATTTTGGAATTCCACCTGGAATTGAGCATTGTGTATGTGTGGTTGATTTGCTAGGGCGATCAGGAAGATTTGCTGAGGCTGAGAAATTTCTGATTGAAATGCCAGTATCTCCCAATGGATTTGTTTGGCGGAGCTTATTGGCTGCTTGTAGAGTTCATGTTAATGTCGAACTTGGTAAAAAAGCTGCACAGCAGCTTATACAAATGGGACCTGATGATGACTCTGTATATGTTTTGTATTCTAACGTATGTGCATCAAGTGGGAACTGGGAGGATGTGGAGAGTATCAGAAATCAAATGCAATTGGGTAATGTAAAGAAAAAGCCTGCATGTAGCTGGGTCAAGTTGAAGAACAAGGTCAGCTCTTTTGGAATGGGAGACAAATCCCACTCTCAAACAAAGCTAATAGATGCAAAACTCAAAGAAGTCAAGAAGCTGATTACTGAAGCAGGTTATGTCCCTGATACAAGCTTTGCTTTGCATGATACGGATGAAGAGCAGAAGGAGCACAATTTATGGAACCACAGTGAGAGACTTGCTCTTGCATATGGGTTAATTAACTCCCCAGAAGGCTCAATCATCAGAGTATTCAAGAACCTTCGTGTCTGTGGTGATTGCCACACTGTTTTTAAATTTGTTAGTGCAGCAGTTGGCAGGGAAATTCTATTGAAGGATCCCTACCGGTTTCATCACTTCAAAGGTGGCAAGTGTTCATGTGGGGATTTTTGGTAGTCGGGATGCTATTGTATAGCTGCATAGTAGCAAACACACACATACACACGCAAACATTTTAACTCCTCTTTACCTATACTTATTAGTGAAGTGTGCAACGAATTGGTGTTAGGGAAGAGGGGCAATTTAGGGAGTAGCTTGAAGGAGAACTTAATTAGTTCGTTAGGGAAATGCTCTGTAAATAGACATAATTAGAGAGATAATCATGTTGAAATTTGTTGAATGCTTTGGGTTAGCTTTAAAAGGCTAAATTGGGAGAGAATCTACCTCTAAAAAGTAGAATTATCATCTTCTTCCTATGTTCTGCCATTTATGATGCCCAAGCTATAATAATACATAGCAGTCTTTTAAATGTACTTTTCAGTGTTAACAGTTGGTGAGAGTATAATATATCTCTGTGGTGATAGTTGTCTTGTCTTTGATATCTGGTCTTCTCCTTACCCTATTAATAGGTCTATTTATAGCTATTTTGATTGTTTGTAATGCAGACTTATCAGAAGCATGGTATTTGAATGCAGGCATATTGTTGATCCAGATAAAGTACAGTTGTATAAGATCTTCTGTACTGTATTTCTCCAAATTTCTGCTATAATTTACTTGTCGGTTTTTTATGTCGTCGCCTTGCAAATTCTACGCTACCTGCTGTGCCAGTTGATTCTCATAAACTTTGGGAGCAGCCTACGGATTTCATCATCTCTTCAGTGCATCCATTTAGTTCGGTTCCTTGCAGCTTCAATACACCTTGTGTCCTTGTCTATATTAGGAACTGCAGCTTCTGCTGTTTCTAGGGTTGAAATGCTCAAGGCTTTGTCTATGCGACTTTGCATAGAAACTGAAGGATTAAGCCTAATCTTTAACCTATCTTTCAATTGTTAAGTGGAATGTATTTTTCAGATAAACAGGATACATTTTCAAGATCAGAGAGGATGAGCCCTCCTGTTCTATGTGGGCCACTCTCAAGTTTTCCCTTATCTGAACAGAAATTGCTGCAGAAAGAGCTCAAAACTCTTCCAGAGTACTACAAGCAAGAATTTGCCTGAACTAGTGAATTTCAACCATTATATGGTCTTTTTTTTTTTTTTTTTTTTTTTTTTTTTTTTTTTTTTTTTGACAAATGTTAAAAAAAAAAAAAAAGAGTATAAAAGTCTTCTCCCCGCCAAATCAACATTCCAGCTCTCATACCGTCTTTTATTTTGTCTCTCTCATTAGTCATTACAGTCATCAGCAAGCATATATTATAATCACCAAAATTCTTGTTCATCATTGTCGTCGTCAACACTTATACTTGCGATATTATCATCTGAACCTGTCCATTACTTCATTTCCTTCAATTCTACTGCGATTATCATCGGAATCGGCGAGGTTGAACTTGCTATCAATTGCCATTGACGACTGACGACGCCGGAATATTTTCGATTGAGGAGCTTTGAATTGGCTGCACAATTATTAAAATGGACATCGGTTCGCCGTCGTCCACTTTCTCGCCTCGTGATCGTATCATTCAGGTCATGCTCTTCTTCTTCAGTTCTTCTCTTTGTCTTTGTCTTTTATTTTTTTTTGTATTTTGGGTGTAGATATAATCGCAAAGGGTAAATGATGTAGACGGGATTTGATGTTAGGTTTTTCGAGACTTTAATTAACTAAGATAGTTGATATCCTGATTAACCTTTCAATTTCTACTACTAACCAATTAACAATTAGTAGCAATTATATCTGTAGAACTCTTTAAAAAAATTCCGATTTCTTTATTATTTAAATTTTTGATTAGTAGGTTTTTTTGGGTATGCAAGTGTTGCTGAATAAACTTAATCAAGGTAGATTAATTTGTCAACGATTAAAAAGTTTGATTTTATGGCCGGAATTAAAGCAAAAGGTAAACAATTTGTGGTAAATTTCAGAATGTTTACACGAATTAAGGTTGTTTTGTTCTTATACACCCTAATTATATACTTAAGCTAGGAAAATACAAATTTATTGTTTGAAAGAAGGTTTATATCTTGATGAATCTGTATATGATGACCCTAGTAATGTAGTTGACATCACGATTAGCTTTGCTACAGATTATGCATGCCTTTACATGCGTCATAGATAGCGCTGTGGGAGTAAGGCTTAGGCAGGTTAGACGCTCACCTTGCAATGGATTCTTGGCACTTCATTTCGAACAAAAACGGGCTATAATTTCATATTACACTCAAGCTTGAGACATGTAGTCGTGGCCTGCACAAGTAGTCAAGCCTGAGTAGAACTCGATGCCAAAGCTCAAATGTGCAACTTAGAAGTGGATGGGGGCTTGGAGACATTAGGGAGGCATTGTAAGTTGTGGGTTTGAAATTATGTTCTTTTGTTAAATGATCTTTATAGAGCCATGAAGCCTGAATATAAAAAGTGATATCATAGTATGGGAATTCTTATTAGAAGTCTATGCAATATTTTCAATTATGTTATCAACCATAATGTTCGGAAATCCATCAAAAATGAATTCCATTATCAATTGAATAAATATGAGTTGTGCATTTTAGTGGAGAGTTGTTTTTAAGAAGTATAAAGAAATCTTTATTGTATGTGTACAATGGTTTTTCATACATGTGTTTGAAATATTTAGGCCTCTTTATAGGCCGTAGATTTGAAGTATATGATAGTATACACATCTGCTTATCGTTGTCTAAAACGATAAACATTCTGTAATGGGTAAAATTCACATGGTTTCATCAATGCATCATTGTGTCTGACAAGGTTCCTTTCCTAAGAAAGGAGGGGAGTTATAATATGTCCCTTCCAGAACAAGCATATTTATGATAAAGTTATGTTCTTATAAAACCAAAAGAAATAAGATAAGGAAATGTTTCCTTAAAATTATATTTAAAAGCAGCAAACATTATCTGGATGCGTGGGATACTGGGATCTATGGAGAAGCCAAGGAGACATGCACAAAATGCAGTGTGCCAAGGATTTTGTGCATGTCTCCTGTGGCACTCTGTGCATGTCTACTTGTATACATATTGCTTTGAAGTTGATTCTCTCAAAAAAAAAAAAAAAAAAAAAAAAAAAGAAGTCAAAACAAGAACATTTAGAAATGGAGGGAATAGTACTTTATATGTCGAATGATGACATGCACACAATGGCCCACACACAATTGACAACCCCTTATGTAGTATGTATGTACAATTATCTTGGCTTGACATTTTGCTAAATGGTGATTGTCTTCTTTGGCAGGGACTATCCATGATTGGTGTTCCCGAGGAGTACCTAAGAGATCTCCAGCCTGGTTTGGTGTGTTTTATTAAAAACAATAAACCCTTGTTGTCTGAAATAGTCTCAGCCATTTTACCTACAGACATAGGTGTTTCAGGGGTGGTTTGTGAAAGGAAATTTAGGTCTAAGAAAGCATTGGACCATCTGAACTTGAAAGATGCCTATCGTGAAAGTATGTGTTGGTTAAAGTGGTTGATGTTTGAGCACGAACCAAATACCGCACTGAATAACCTCGCTAATTTGAATGGTTGTCAGCGTGGTGTGTGTGGTGTTATTTGGAGGAAAAATGATTTAGCATTTCGCTGTAATACCTGTGGACATGACCCAGCTTGTGCAGTCTGTCTTACTTGTTTCCAGAAAGGAAATCATGAGAATCATGACTTTTTTACCACCACTCCTGGTGAGGGATGCTGTGATTGTGGCGATGAGTCTGCCTGGAAACGAGAAGGCTTTTGTTCAGAGCACAAAGGCGCAGAACAAATACAGCCTCTTCCAGGCGAGATAGCCAGTTCAATGGAACCCGTATTGGATCTGCTTCTCAAGTTCTGGAAAGACAACATGTTAAGAAGAGATTCAACCAACAAACATGGTACTGAGCTGAGAAAAGTTGTTAATGAGCTTTCCTACAGTGTGGTGGAGATGCTTCTGGACTTTTGCAATCACAGTGAAAGTTTGCTGAGTTTTGTTTCTAAGAGGTTGATTCACACAGTTGATTTACTGAAATTGTTGGTAAGATCTGAGAGGTTCTTAAGTACTGATGTCACAAAGAAGTTGCATGAGTTGCTACTTAAGCTTCTTTGTGAACCTATATTAAGCATGATTTTGCAGAAGTATTCACAGAGTATTACCCTGTTACTATTTCTGAAGTTCTTAAGACATCAAGCTATGATTTTCATAATTCTCTAGTGATGAAGTTTTCTTTGCACATTTTTACTGTGCCAACACTGATGCCACATCTTGTTAAGGAGCGTAATCTCTTGGCTGTGCTGATAAGATGTCTGGGGGAGATTCTCTTTTCTTGTTGCGGAAATGATGGCCGTATTCAGGTAATTTTTATATATTTATATTTTTATTAGTTATGTGTATTTGTTGTGAGCTTGTAATTACGCTTATGTAATATGAGCCTTGGTTATAAAGTGTAACGTAATGGACTTGCTCACAATATCTGTGTATTAGTTAGGTTTGATCTCTGATGTATTGTGAGATGGGAGAGAGGAGGGGGGTTAAGTGATGATATGTTTTGAGAGCTATGTCTTTCTATTTAGAGCAAGATCACAAGTGCTTCTGTGAGAGTTGTTGTGGACTTGTGGTAACTTATGTCATTTTGTTTCTCAATTTTCTTTAGTATTTCTGTAAAAAGGTGAGGGCAAGTATGCTGATGATTCATGTGGTACTCCCTCTGTATTAATATAAGTGCTACACTAGCTGAGTTAAATTTGTTAAAATATTGTGTAAGTGGGGTTTGCAGGGAAATTATAAATTAAAGAGAGTGGTTTAATATTTTATTCAAAAGTAAAAGATGTGAGAGGAAATAATATAAGAAGAAATGTGTGTGTGGACCATGGGAAGAAAGATATTATACAATAACGGAGAATATTTCACATTTAGGTATTGTTCACTTATCTTAAAATTTCGCTTATCTTATTTTATTATTAGCCCTAAACTTATCTTTTCTAGGATGATTTACAAAAATATGGCTTTTTAAGAACTTATTTACGATTCTGCATTGGAATGAAACTTATTTACGAAAATATCGTCCACGTAGGCTCGGAAATACATTTGGTGTAATTTTTTCTTTTAGAGACAAACCGCTACCTTAAGTAGCGGTTTTAGTATCAAAACCACTAACTTAAGTAGCGGTTTGTCTTTAGTACTCCAAGCTGCCTTTTAATTCAATCAAGTAAAATACCGCTACCTCAAGTTGCGGTGTTAGTACATAAACCGGTAGTGGTTTTACTCTAAAAAATAACAATAAATTTATCCGAGCCTACGTGGATAGTAGTTCTATAAATAAGTTTTATTCCGACGCAAAAGTATAAATAAGTTTTCAAATAACCATACTCATCCTCTAATCTGAACTTATTAGCCCTTATCTTATTTCAACTTATTAGCCATTTTCTTCTCTGATTTTATTTTACCTTATATTATTGGACCTTATTAGATCTTATTT